ATGTATGCCTACAAATGTAATACTGATAAATAATATATATATATATATATATATATATATATATATATATATATATATATATAGGGTTGAATTTTCACCTCTGTAATTTAATTTGTCTGGCCTGGTAATGCTACCTTTTATTAATCCAACCTAATTTTGTTTGTTGCTAATCTGCAATGACGCGCGACATTCGAAACAAAAAAAAATGGATGACGCTTCTAGATCCACTACCTGTTCAGATTCCCCGATGCCAAAAACTACCAGTTGTACAGGACAAGTTGTCCCGTACAACTTGTAGCACCTGCTTCAAATCCCATATTTTTTGTGTCAGGGAGTTGACAGCCCTATATACATATAATATATGTGTGTGTGTGTGTGTTGTGTGTGTGTGTGTGTGTGTGTGTGTGTGTGTGTGTGTGTGTGTGTGTGTGTGTGTGTGTGTGTGTGTGTGTGTGTGTGTGTGTGTGTGTGTGTGTGTGTGTTTACGAAAAATACAGGACTGATTTAAAGGAAGGTAGGAAGGCATCCTTTTTTATCAGCTTTGGAAAGCATAAAGTAATGTATTTATTTTATTCATTGTAATGACAAACAACATATTTACCCAAAATCACCCAAACGATAAAAAAATAAAAATAAAAAAAATTTAATCGCATTCTCAAGTCACATTAACCAGTCACTCCACTTTTATCCAGAAAGCAGTTCTCCAGGCGAGAGTACTCCTCAGTCCTTCAAATCGAGCCCAAAACGGAAGAAAATGTCAGTGTGCCACATCGTTCTGCTCGTCCTCAGCCTGTTAGCTGCCGGGACTGGTTTCGCCATGTTGGTCGGGGCCTACGACGCCATCTTTGATTCGGTGTTGCAATCGGTGGGTTTCGAGCTTTTCTATTTCTTTTCGGTTGAAGTTCTGAGTTAATTTGCTATTTGTTTCTGATTATTTTATGTTTTAATCTAAGTGTTGAGAAACGGGAATAGGTGCGTTACACAGAATAATATCAGGAGATCGAAATTAGGATCGAAAAGTTGGAAATTAGGATCGAAACCTCTTTGTTTACAGCAAATGCAGGTGACGGAAGGATCACGAGCCTATGAAATTTGGCGCCTAACTCCCGTGCCGCTGTTCTTACGTCTATATTTCTTCAATCTTACCAATCCAGATGAATTTGAGAAAGGAGCGAAGCCTATTGTACAGCAGGTGGGCCCGTACTGCTACAGGTGGGTGCAAATGTGGCTTTTATCTTTCTCTCACATACACTGCACATCCTCATGCCACACACACACACACACACAACACACACACACACACACACACACACACACACACACACACACACACACACACACACACACACACACACACACACACACACACACACACACACACATATATATATATATATTATATATATATATATATATATATATATATTAGTTCAATCGTAATTATTATTATATGTAATTGTATTAAAAATAGTAATGGCAACTATATCAATAAAACAGGAATGATAATAATAATAATAATAATAATAATAATATAATAATATAATAATAGTGATAATAATAATAATAATAACAATATCAGTAATAATAGGAATAACAACAAAAACAATAATAATAATGATAACAATAGGAAAGGTAATAAAGGCAAAAATAATAATATAAATTTTAAAAAATAATAATAATGATAATGCCCAACCTGTAAACCCCATTTTTTTTCGAAATTCAGACCAAATTTCTCACTAACCATTTTCACTTCTTTTCCGGACAGAGAATACCACGAGAAACAGAACTTGACCTTTCACCGCAACCACACCGTGACCTTCTTTCAGCAGCGGTGGTGGCACTGGGATCAGGAAATGTCTGGCAATAATACGAGGGATGACGTCATCACCATCGTCAACGCAGTGCCGATCGTGAGTCTCGGTTTCGGAGCTTCGGAGCTTCGGTTGCGGGTTCAGTTCTGTCTTAATGAAGCATTTTTGGGTTTTGTGCGATTAACAGTGATGGGAATAATGTGAAATTGCAGGGTTAATGTTGCTTGTATATATTTGGGTGTAAGTGTAGACGTTCTGAATATCTAATGAATATATACCTACATAAATATATGTTCCAATACATATATATGTATGAGAGAGAGAGAGAGAGAGAGAGAGAGAGAGAGAGAGAGAGAGAGAGAGAGAGAGAGAGAGAGAGAGAGAGAGAGAGAGAGAGAGAGAGAGAGAGAGAGAGAGAGAGAGAGGAGAGAGGGAGAGAGAGAGAAAGAGAGAGTATGTGTATATATCTACATATGTATGCGTGTGCGTTTATGTACGTATATTACACCTATTAACTTGATTTTCCCTCAACAGTCGGCGGCCTGGAGTGTGCGATCCCTGAAGCCCGCCCTCAGCAGTCTCAACGCCATGTTTAACCTCCTGGGCGAACAGCTGATCGTCAGAGCCACCGCCGGCGAGATAATTTTCGATGGATTTCAGGTGATTTTTTATCTTATCATAAAGAAGAGGTGTAAATAGGATTAAATGCGTTATAGGGATAAAGAAGGGTATGAAAAAGATCAAGTAGATATGAATTATGGGTAGATACGATCATTTTTGTCTTCTGTTAATATATATATGTGTGTGTGTGTGTATGTGTGGTGTGTGTGTGTGTGTGCATATATTTATACGCGCATACACACGTGTGTGTGTCTATTTACCTATCTATCTATCTATCTATCTATCTATCTATCTATATGTGTGTGTGTGTGTGTTGTGTGTGTTGTGTGTGTGTGTGTGTGTGTGTGTGTGTGTGTGTGTGTGTGTGTGTATGTATATACGTCTTCAGGGATTATCTAGGAGCCATTATTAATTACTCACTAATCAACTGTATATTCGAGAAATATTTTCAACCGCGAATTTACACCCATCCTCATCCTTTTTTTTTTTATTTTTTTTTTCCGAATTAATTGATTTTTAAAATTGTTCCCCCCAGGATCGCTGCTGGATAGATGCAGGAGAACATGGTCGCAGAAAACGGGAGTCTGCACAATATGACCGACTTGTTGCCGATTCCGCCCGGACTCACCGACTACGATCGCTTCGGGTGGTTTTACGGCGTGTGTGTTTGTTGTTTTTGTTGTTGTTGTTGTTTGTTGTTGTTGTTGTTGTTGTTTGTTGTTTTCTTAATTTTCTTTTTCATTTTTCTTGTTTTGTTTTTTTTCTTGTTTTTCGTTTTATTTTATATTTCTTTTTCCGGTTTTTTTCCTTAGTTTTATTGTCATTATTATCATTGTTTTCTTAATTTTCTTTCTTTTTCTTGTTTTTTTCTATTTTCGTTTTATTATATATATCTTTTTTCCCGTTCTTTTCCTTAGTATTATTATCATTAATACCATTGTTTTCTTAATTTTCCTCTTTCTTTCTTTCTTTTTTTTTTTTTTCCTTCTTATCATCGTTATTATTACGTACGTCAAGGAGGTTATGTTTTTGGTCGCGTTGATTAGTTTGTTTGTTTGTTTGTTAGCAGGATAACTCAAGAAGTTATAAGATATTTTTATGAATTATTTACCTACCAGATTTAATTAATTATTTTTTATTATTATTATTATTAATTATTCCATCAGTAACTATCATTAGGATAACTCAAGAAGTTATAAGATATTTTTATGATTTTTTTACCAACCAGATTTAATTAATTATTTAATATTATTATTTTTATTATTAATTATTGCATCAGTAACTATTATAAGGATAACAAGAAGTTATAAGATATTTTTATGATTTTTTTACCTACCAGATTAAATTAATTATTTATTATTATTATCATTATTAATTATTGCATGAGTATCATTACCTTCATCATCGATTTAATTAATTATGTTTTATTATTATTATTATTAATTATTGCTTCATTAACTATTATTATCATTATTACCTTCATCATCGCTAAGGAGGTTATGTTTACGAGCGTCACCTTTGTACGTAAAAAAAGGTGATTTTAATGTAATTCTTTAATTGTGATTTTTTTCTTTTGTATTAGTGACCCAGTTGCCATGGCGGAGGTATGCGCTTTCTGATAGCTGCTAGTTGTTATTGAATTTTTATTATTATATTTTTTATCATTATCATTAGTTTTATCATCATTATTATTATTATTATTATTATTATTATTATTATTTTACTCTTTTTTTTCTTCGTAATCTTCGTTCTCTCCTATTTCTTTTTCTTCTTTTCGTTTTTCATTTTCTTTTTCTCTTTAATCTTCTCTCTTGATTTGATTATTGAATTATGATTAGGAAGAAGCGGAATCTGACAATTTTTTTCTCGTGTTTATTTTGCTAAATATCTTATCACTTCTTTGTCTATTTCCATTTGTACTTTTCTTCTTCTTCTTCTTTTTCTTCTTCTTCTTCTTCTTTGTCCCTTTTATCAACCCTTTCTTCGCTCATGTCATCCATCACTTTTATCAAAGATTTTCCTCCAAAGATTAACAAAGAGTAATTTCTTTCTTAAATTTTCGACTTCTCTCATTTTCTTTTTTATTTGATTTCGACATTATTTTTATTTGTTTCTCTCTCATTTTCTTTGATTTGTTTTCGATATTAATTTTATTTGTTTCTCTCTCATTTTCCTTGATTTTCTTTCGACATTTTTTTTTTTTTTTTTCTCTCTCATTTCTTTGATTTGATTTCGACATTTTTTTTATTTGTTTCTCTTCATTTTCCTTGTTTTCTTTCTACATTTTTTTTTTTTTTTTTTTTTTCTCTCTCATTTTCTTTGATTTGCTTTCGACATTTTTTTTTATTTGTTTCTCTCTCTATTTCTTTGATTTGCTTTCGATATTATTTTTTTTTGTTTCTCTCTCATTTTCTTTGATTTGTTTCGACATTTTTTTTTTATTTGTTTTCTCTTCATTTTCTTTGATTTGCTTTCGACATTTTTTTTTTATTTGTTCTCTCTGATTTCTCATTCTTGATTGTTCACATTTATTTTATTTGTTTCTCTCGTCATTTTCTTGATTTGATCTTCATTATTTTATTTTCACTTATTTTTATTTGTTTTCTCTCTTTTTTCATTTTATTTGTTTCCACATTTCCTTTGAATTTTGATTTCTTCTGTCTCTTTTTTCATTTGATTTCGAAATTTCGATCAGTTTTTTTAACTTATGTGTTCTCTTCAGTCATTTCTTTGATTACGATTTCCGAATTTTTTTTTTATTTGTTTCTCTCTCTCATTCCTTCTTTGATTTTGATTTCGACATTATTTTTATTTGTATTTCTCTCTCATATTTTTTTTGATTTGATCTTTCAACATGTTTTTTATTTATTTTTTTCTCATCGCTTCATTTCTTTTGGTTTGATTTCCGACATTTTCTATTATTTTTTTCACCCTCTGCACACTCGCTAATATCATTTCTTTGATTTGCTGACATATTTTTTTTTCTTTCTATCTCATATTTCTTTATTTGATTTCGACTTTTATTTATTTGTTTCTCTCTCAGATTTTCTTGATTTTAATTTCGACATTTTTTTTTTTTATTCTCTCATTTTCTTTGATTTGATTCGATTTCGAACTTTTTTTATTTGTTTCTACCTTTCTTATTGTTCTCGACTCATCATTTTCTTTGATTCTCTTCATTTTTTTTTCACATTATTTTGATATTTGTTTCGACTTTTATTTTTATTTGTTTCTCTCTCATTTTCTTTTGATTTCGAATTGTTTTTTTATTTGTTTCTTCGCATTTTACTTGATTTTGATTTATCACATCTCTTTTTTTGATCTCATTTTTGCTGTTCTGTTGATTCGACATTTTTTTTATTTGTTTCTCTCTCATTTTCTTTGATTTGATTTCGACATTTTTTTTATTTGTTTCTCTCTCTTTTTCTTTGATTTGATTTCGACAATTTTTTTTATTTGTTTCTCTCATTTTCTTTGATTTGATTTCGACATTTTTTTTATTTGTCTTCATTCTATTTTCTTCTGGTTTGATTTCGACATTTTATTTTATTTGTTTCTTTCTCTTTTTCTTTGATTTGATTCGAATGTTCGTCTTCATCATTTTCATTATTTTTTATTTGTTTCTCCTCTCAATTTTTCTTTGTTTGATTCATCTTTCTTTTGCTTAATTTATTTCTCTCTCATTTCTTTGTTGATTTGATTCGACATTTTTTTATTTGTTTCTCTCTCATTTTTTATTTGTTTTCGACATTATTTTTATTTGTTTTCTCTCTCATTTTCTTTGATTTGATTTCGACAATTTTTTTATATTTTTTCTCTCATTTTTCTTTGATTTGATTTCCGACATTATTTTTATTTGTTTCTCTCATTTTTCTTTGATTTGATTTCGACATTATTTTTTATTTGTTTCTCTCTCATTTTTATTTTATTGATTTCGACATTATTTTTTATTTGTTTCTCTTCATTTTTTTTGATTGCTTTCGACATTTATTTTTTATTTGTGTTTCTCTCTCATTTTTCCTTTGATTTGATTTCGACATTGATTTTATTTGTTTTCTCTCTTCGATTCTTTTTGCTTTTATTTGATTTCGACATTATTTTCATTTGTTTTCTCTCTCATTTCTTTTCTTATTTGTTTCGACATTTTTTTATTTGTTTCTCTCTCTTTCCTTTGATTTGAATTCATACATTTTTTTTATTTGTTCTCTCTCATTTTTTTTTTATTTGATTCGAAATTATTTTTCATTTGTTTCTCTCTCTCATTTTCTTTTGATTTTGATTTTGACATTATTTTTATTTGTTTTCTCTCTCATTTTCTTTGATTTGATTTCGACTTTAATTTTTATATTGTTTTCTCTCATTTTCTTTGATTTGATTTCGACATTTTTTTTATTTTGTTTCTCTCCCATTTTCTTTTATTTGCTTTTGATATTATTCCTTATGTTTCTCTTCTCATTGTTCTTTTGATTTGATTTCGACATTTTTTTATTTGTTTCTCTCCCATTCTTTTTTATTTGATTTTGACATTTTTATTTGTTTCTCTCTCATTTTTTTGATTTCCTTCGACATTATTTTTATTTGTTTCTCTCATCATTTTCTTTGATTTCTTTCGACATTATTTTTATTTGTTTCTCTCTCATTCTTTCTTTTTATTTTGAAATTCGGGGACACTTATTTATTTATTTGTTTCTCTCTCATATTTTCATTTGGTTTGTCTTTTGATTTTTTATTTGTTTCTCTCCTCATTTTCACTTGATTGCTGTTCGACAATTATTTCTTTATATTGTTAGTTTGTCTTGCTTCTCATTTTCCTCTGTATTCGCATTAAGGATCATTGTTATTAGGTGATTTTTTTATTTGTTTACTCCTCCACTTTTATTCATTATTCTTTGAATTTGCTTTTCGACTTATTTATTGGTTTTATTTTGTTCCCTCTCTTTCATCTTTTTCTTTTATTTTCGATTTCCGATTTATTTTTTTATTTGTTTTCTCTCACCGACTCATTTTCCTTTGATTTGGAATATCTTCGACATTGTTTTTCTTATTTGTTTCTTCCTATGTCATTTCTTTCGTTTGATTTGATGTCTCGAACATTTTTTTATTGTTTTTCTCTCCCGCCATTCCTTCATTTGATTTTGCATTTCGACATTATTTTTATTTGTTTCTCTCAATTCTCCTCTTTGATTTGTCTTTGATTAATTTTTTTTTTATTTGTTTCTACTCAATCATTTTTTTGTTATTTGATTTCGACCATTTTTTTTTATTTTGTTCTTCTCTCCCCCCATTTTCTTTGATTTGAATTCGCTCACCATTTTTTTTATTTGTTTCTCTCTTTTCATTTTCTTTCGTATTTGATTATGACATCTTTCTATTTTCTCATAATTTGTTCTCTCTCCTCATTTCTTCTTTGATTTGCCATTTCGATCATCTATTTCACTCTCTGTCTTCATTCTCTCATTCTTCTCTTTTGAATCTTGGAGATTCTGATCATTCCTCTTTTTCTTTATATTTTGTTTTATCTTCTTCTTCATTTTCTTGACTTGATTTGTTCGTACATTTTTTTCTACATTATGGTTTCTCTCCCACTTTTGCTCTTTTATTTGATTCGACTCTAATTAGCCTCTTTTTATTTGTTTCTTTCCTCTACATCTTCTTTTTCGACTTTGTTTTGAATTTTTCTCTTCTATCTTGTTCTCTCTTCTCATTTTCTTTGATTTAATTTCGACATTCTTTTCTTATTTCCGTTTCTCTCTTCCATTGTCTTTCTTTGATTTGATTTCGACATGTATTTATTTATTTGGTTTTCTTCGTCATTTTCTTTCTTTCGTCGATTTTTGATTCTCGATTATCTTTTTTTTTTATGTTGTTATCTCACCTCTCGATTTTACTTTGCATTTTTGTATTGTCGAGCTAGTATTTTTAATTTTTATTGTGTTCTCACTCTCTTATTTTCTTTTTTATTTGATTTCGACATTATTTTTATTTGTTTCTCTCTCATTTTCTTTGATTTTGATTACGACATTATTTTATATTTGTTTTCTCTCCTTCATTTTCTTTGATCTCTGAATTTTCGACCAATTTTTTTTATTTTGTTTCTCGGTCCATATTAGTTGCATATTTCTTTGATTTGTATTGGAGAGACATTATCTCTTCATAATTTCAACTTTCTCCTCTTTTTCATTTGTCTTTGTATTTGATATATCGGAGCACTCTAATTTTTTCTTTGTTTCTGTCCTCTCTTCATTTTCTTTTTATTTGATTTGCGACATTTTTTTTATTTGTTTCTCCTCATTTCCTTTGATTTGATTTTTCGATTTATTTTTTATTTTGTTTCTCTCTTCCCATATTTTCTCCCTTTTATGAAATTTTCTGTACATGTTATTTTTTCCTTTGTCTTCTCTCATTATATTCTTTGGATTTTGATTTTCGACAGTTTTTTTGGTGTTTTGTTTCCTCTTCTTCTCATTCATATTTTTCTTTGATTTGCTTTCGACTTTAGGTTATTTTTATTTGTTGTATTTCTTTACTATTTTCTGATTTTGAAAGTTCGATCAACTTAATTTTACTTTTGTTTTCTCTCTCGTCATTCTTCTTTTGATTTGAGTGTCGCTACGTATTTTATTTGTTTTTCTCTCCCATTTTCTTTTAGTTCGTTATCGTTATATTATTTATTTAGTTTGTTCACGTCATCTCTAATTCTTTTGATTTTCCTTTTCGCTTCAGATATATTTTTTTAATTTTGGTTTTTCTCTTTTTCATTTTCTTTAGAAATGTTTGCATTTATTCGACATGTTACTCCTTTATTTGTATTGCTAGTCGGTCATTTTTCTTATTATTATATTTCGATTTCGTAGGCGGATTATATATTTTGTTATTTGGTTTCTTACTCTCATTTCTTGATTTGAATTCAACATTTTATTTATCTCTCTCGTCATTATATCTGATTTTTGATTTGATTTCATTTTATTTATTTAGTTTCTCTCTCATTTTCTTTAGAAGGAGAGGATTTCGATTTCGATATTATTTTAATTATTGTTTCTCTCTTCATTTTCTTTGATTTGATTACGACATTACTTTTTATTTGTTTCTCTCTCATTTCTTTGATTTGCTTTCGACTATCTAATATTGTTTTAGTGTTTGTTTCTCTATCATTTTCTTCTCGATTTCCTTTTCGACATATTTATTTTGTTTCTTCTCTCTATTTTTTCGACTGCTCTTTCGACATTATTTTTTTATTTGTTCTCATCTTTCATTTCTTTTTATTTTGATTCTTCGTTATTCATTTTTCTTTCTTATTTTGGTTCTTCGTCTTGTTATATTATCTTTTGATTTGATTATTCCTCAAACATTTTTTTTTTTATATTGTTTTCTCTCTGTTCTTCATTTCTCCTTGATCTTTGAAATTGCAACATTTTTTTTTTTTTTTTTTTTTTTCTTTTTTGTTTTCTCTTGCTCGAGTGTTTCTTTGATTGATTTCCAAAGACCATTTTTTTTATTTGTGTTTCTCTTGTCTCATATTCCTTTTGATTTTGAATTCAACCATTATCTTTTTTTTATTTTCGTTTTTCTCTCCTCATTTTCTTTCTTGGAGTTTGTGTCTTTCGACATTTATATTTATATTTTAAGTTTCTCTCTCGAGTTTTCTTTGACTTGAATTTCGACAATATTTCTTTTATTTGTTTCTCTTTATTACTCTTTGATTTGATTTCGACATTTTTTTTAATTTGTTTTCCTCTCATTTTTCTTTGATTTGATTTTTCATTATTTTATTTGTTTCTCTCCATCATTTTCTTTGATTTGCTTTCGACTCTCTCTATTTTCTTTTGATTTTTTTTTTTTCTCTCTCATCTTTTCTTTGATTTGATTTCGAATTTTTTTTTTGTTTCTCTCTCATTTTCTTTGATTTGATTTCGACATTTTTTTTTATTTGTTTCTCTCTCATTTTCTTTGATTTGCTTTCGACATTTTTTTATTTGTTTCTCTCTCATTTTCTTTGATTTGATTTCGACATTATTTTTATTTGTTTCTCTCATTTTCTTTGATTTGATTTTTGACATTGATTTTTTTATTTGTTTCTCTCTCATTTTCTTTGATTTGATTTCGACATTTTTTTTTATTTGTTTCTCTCTCTTTTTCTTGATTTGATTTCGACATTTTTTTTTAATTTGTTTTTTCTCTCATTTTCTTTGATTTTGATTTATTTTTTATTTGTTTCTCTCTCATTTTCTTTGATTTGATTTCGATTTATTTTTTTATTTGTTTCTCTCTCATTTTCTTTGATTTGATTTCGAAATTTTTTTTTTATTTGTTTCTCTCTCATTTTCTTTTATTTGATTTTGACATTATTTTTTATTTGTTTCTCTCTCATTTTCTTTGATTTGATTTCGACATTTTTTATTTCCTCTCATTTTCTTTGATTTTCGACATTTTTTTATTTGTTTCTCTCTCATTTTCTTGATTTGATTTCGACATTTTTTTATTTGTTCTCTCTCATTTTCTTTGATTTGATTTCGATTTTTTTTTATTTGTTTTCTCTCTTCTTTTTCTTTGATTTGATTTCGACTTTTTTTTATTTTGTTTCTCTCTCATTTTCTTTGATTTGATTTCAACATTTTTTTATTTGTTTCTCTCTCATTTTCTTTGATTTGATTTCGATTTATTTTTTTATTTGTTTCTCTCTCATTTTCTTTATTTGATTTCGACATTTTTTATTGTTTCTCTCTCATTTTCTTTGATTGATTTCATTATTTTTATTTGTTTCTCTCTCATTTTCTTTGATTTGATTTCGAATTTTTTTTTATTTGTTTTCTCTCTCATTTTCTTTGATTTGATTTGACATTATTTTTTATTTGTTTCTCTCTCATTTTCTTTGATTTGATTTCGACATTTTTTTTATTTGTTTCTCTCTCATTTCTTTGATTTGATTTCGACATTTTTTTATTTGTTTCTCTCTCATTTTCTTTATTTGATTTCGACATTTTTTTATTTGTTTCTCTCTCATTTTCTTTGATTTGATTTCGACATTTTTATTTTGTTTCTCTCTCATTTCTTTGATTTTGACATTATTTTTATTTGTTTCTCTCTCGTTTTCTTTGATTTGAATTCGACATTTTTTTTTTATTTGTTTCTCTCTCATTTTCTTTGATTTGATTTCGACATTTTTTTTATTTGTTTCTCTCTCATTTTCTTTGATTTGATTCGACATTTTTTTTATTTGTTTCTCTCTCATTTTCTTTGATTTTTCGACATTTTTTTTTTTTGTTTCTCTCTCATTTTCTTTTGATTTGAATTCGACTTTTTTTTATTTGTTTCTCTCTCATTTTCTTTGATTTGATTTCGACATTATTTTTATTTGTTTCTCTCTCATTTTCTTTGATTTGAATTCGACTTTATTTTTATTTGTTTCTCTCTCATTTTTCTTTGATTTGATTTCGACATTTTTTTTTATTTGTTTCTCTCTCATTTTCTTTGATTTGATTTCGACATTTTTTTTTTTATTGTTTCTCTCTCATTTTCTTTGATTTGAATTCGACATTATTTTTTTTTTGTTTCTCTGCTCATTTTCTTTGATTTGATTTCGACTTTATTTTTTGATTTCCTCTCTCATTTTCTTTGATTTGATTTCGACATTATTTTTATTTGTTTCTCTCTCATTTTCTTTGATTTGCTTTCGACATTTTTTTTATTTGTTTCAATCATTTTTTTTCTATTTTCAGCGTAATCTATCGCTCACTTACGACGGAGAATTCAACATGAAAACCGGAGAAGACAATTTAGACGAATTGGGTAAGAAATTATTGTATTTTATTGTGTTCAGTTATCGGTGCTGTTGTTGTTATTGTCGTTGTTGTTGTTGTTGTTGTTGTTGTTATTGTGTTCAGTATTATCATTATTGTTATGAGTATTATTTTCGTTTTTATCATTATTGTTATATATATTTTGTTGTTGTTGTTGTTATTATTGTTGTTGATGTCGTTATTATTTTGTTAATGTCATCATCAGCAGCATCATAATTACCTCTATTGTCGTTTTTATCACTTTGAATATTATCATTAATGTTGTTTTATTATTATAGTCATTATTTTTATTATTTCATTATCATATCATTATCATTATCATCATTATCATTATCAGTATCATTATCATTATCATTATCATTATCATTATCATTATCATTATCATTATCATTATCATTATCATTATCATTATCATTATCATTATCATTATCATTATTATCATTATCATTATCATTATCATTATCATTATCATTATCATTATCATTATCATTATCATTATCATTATCATCATCATCATCATCATCATCATCATCATTATTCAGAATTATCATAAGAATATACTCCATATATATAAAGAAACATGAAATACACACAATTTTTTTCTCTCTTAAAAAAAAAAATACTCTTTTAAAAAATGCAAAAAAATAATAATAATAATAATAATAATAATACCTACTTTCTCTCTCTTCGACTCCCTCCTACAGGCAAAATCGACCTCTGGAATCGGCGGCGCGAGACAGATTTCTTCGACGCCCCTTGTAATCGGGTCTCTGGGTCTGCGGGGGAGATGTGGCCGCCCAATCTCAAGCCGGATTTTGTCGATTTCTACAGCCCCGATTTGTGCATGTGAGAATGCGTTTGGTTTGGTTTATAATCTGTTTTTTTTTTATTTAATTGTTTTTTTTTTTGTTTAATGTTGTCGTCAGGTGTGTATGTGTGTATGTGTGTCATGTTTATGTGTGTGTATGTGTGTGTGTGGTGTGTATGTGTGTGATATGCGTGTGTGTTTGTTTATTTTTTTTTTTTTTTACTTAATTTTTCGTTTTTTCGTCAGGGTGTGTATGTGTGTCAGCGTGTGTTTTGTATGTGGTGTGTGTGTATGTTGTGTGTGTGTCTGTGTTTATGTGTGGTGTGTGCGTGTGTGTGTGTGTGTGTGTGTGTGTGTATGTTGTGTGTGTGTGTGTGTTGTGTGTGTGTATGTGTGTCTGTGTGTGTGTGCGTGTGTGTGTGTGTGTGTGTGTATGTGTGTCTGTGTTTATGTGTGTGTGCGTGTGTGTTACATTTCTGCAATACCATTTCATTACTCGTGACTCATTACATTATAAATTGATCAGCTAAGCATATACAAAATATACAAAAATAGAATAACATGTACAGTCCATCTAAACAGCTGATTTCTTGGTGTTAACGTGTGCCAGACGTGTAAACCCATCCAAACCCGAGGATTAAGAAAATAAACAGAAAATTCGAATATTGCACACGTCTCCATCTATTTGTCGTCAGATATTTAAAGCAAAGTGGAGGAAACATGCCATATCCTCTGCTGATTTTTATTTATTTTTTCATTATTATTATTGTTTTATTATTATTACTATTTACTTTTTTATTATTTTTTTGTTACTGTCATTTTTTTCTTTTTAGCTTAATACTCCAGTGGCTTCAAGCGTAGCAGTGGAAAGGATTTTCTAAATTGGGAAAGACATGTCGTATCATAGGCGAGGAGGTTATCCAGATTCCAATGTTTAAAAGTGTTTTTTGTTTGTTTGTTTTTTTTTCTCTTGGATGTAAAGGTGTTCTCTTTAAAGAAATTCAACTGTACGTTATTTCTCTCTCTCCCTCTCTTCCTCCTCCCTCCCTCTCTCTCTCTCTCTCTCTCTCTCTCTCTCTCTCTCTCTCTCTCTTCTCTCTCTTCTCTCTCTCTCTCTCTCTCTCTCTCTCTCTCTCTCTCTCTCTCTCTCTCTCTCTCTCTCTCTCTCATCCTTTCTCCTCTCTCGGTCCTCTCTCATCTCTTCTCGTCTCTCTTCTCTCTCTCTCTCTCTCTCTCTCTTTCTCTCTTTCTCTCTCTCCTCTCTCTCTCTCTCTCGCTCTCTCCTCTCTCCTCTCTCTCCTCTCTCTTCTCTCTCTCTCTCTCTTCTCTCTCTCTCGTCTCATCTCTCCATCTCTCTCTCTCAATCATCGCTCTGCTCTCTCTCTCCTCTCTCTCTCCTCTCCTCTCTCTTTCTCCTCTCTTTCTCCTTCTCCCAGTCATCCTCTCCTCTCCTCTCTCTCTCGTCCTCGTCACTCTACTCACTCCTCCTCTCCCTCTCTATCTTCTCCTCTCGTCCTCTTCCTCTCTTCTCTCTCTCTCGTCTGCACTCTCTCTCTCTTCTCTCTCTCTCTCTCTCTCTCTATTCTCTCTCTCTCTCTCTCTTAATCATAAGTCACGAAATTACTAATCCTTGAATATGCATCTGCAGTAAAATCTTTTCGAAACGTTGGTTCATTTAAGTGATCAAAGAGAAACATATTCTAAATATTCTAATCTACCTGTCAAAGCTGTCAGATTCATTTACCGGAGGGGGACATACTTCACCTTCGTATACAGTCTGTGGGACAGGTAATTAGGTTCGACACCCCCTGACCTATACATTCGAAAGGTAATGTATCACAATTTGCTGACCTTGACTGCGCTGCACAATACACGAGTAAATGATAAACGAAAATAAGTATTGCTTCACTGAGGTCTTCGTGTTTGGTCCCTTTGACATTCACTTATCAATTTCTGCAACAATAAAAGGTTCTTTGAATAAGAAAACGGAAAAAATCACATGATGTCAAGAAATAACTGAATAAGTGCTTCAAAAGTAACGGTAACGTGTTAAGTTATATATTTTTTCCGCAAATATCGTTAATGGTAACACCAGTACTGTTAAGATAATAGGTATAAATGTATGCGTCTCTACCTTTGTATTTTGTTGTGCTCTCTTTTATTCCTTTGTCTTTCATGCCCTGTTTCTTTATTTTTTATTTTTATTTGTATTGTTTATGCAATATTCTCTCTTTCTTTCAACGTCTTTCTTTCTCTTCCTCTCTTCCTAACCCAAGATCCCCTAGCTCTCTCCTTTCCCACCTCTTCCTCCTTCTCCTCCTCTTCGTCTTCTTTCCTATATCCCGCAAATATCTCCCTCTATCTCTTTCCACTATTCTCTTAGCTCTTGCTATTCTCTCTCTCCCTCACCTCCTCTAATCCTTTCCTAACTCCTCGTTCCCGCCCCCTTTTTCCCTTACCCTTCTCCCCCCACTTTTTCCACCTTTCACCTCTCTCATCTCTCCCTCCACCTCATTCTCACCCCTCCAACCCTTCCTCCACTTCCCACCCCCACCGCACCTCCCACGCCTCGTCCTCTCCCTCCTACCGTCCTCCTACCATCCCTCACTAACTCTCGCTCTCCACCCACCTCCCACCCTCTCCTACCATCCTCCTACCTCCCTCTCCCTCCTCACCTCCTCCTACCTCCTCTACCGTTCGCCTCCTCCACCCTTTTGCCTTCCACCTCCCATCCCTATCTCCACCCCGCTCCTACCTCCCACTCCCTATCCCACCCTCCTAACCTCCACCGCCTATCCCGACCCCTATTCCACCCCCCTCTACCTCCCTCCCATCTCCCTCCTAACGCTCGCCACCTTGCCTCCCTCCTACCTTCCCCCCTCCTACCTCCTCCACCTCACGCCTATCCCACCCCCTCCCAACTTCCCTCCTACCTCCCTCCTACCTCCCTCCTACCCCTCTCCTACCTTCCCCTACCATCCCTCCTACTCCCTCCACCTCCCCCTGACCTCCCTTCCTACTCCCTCCCACCCCTCCCCACTTCCCTCCTACTCACCCTCCACACCTCGCACCCCCTCTGCCCTCTCTCCCTCTCCCAACCTCCCTCCTACCTCCCTCCTATCAACACTGCCTTTCCCTCTTCCACCAGGACCATGAAACTTTTCTACAAGGAGGATGCACGCGACCCCAACGGCCTCCCAGGATACAGGTTCTGGGGGACGAACCTCACCTTCGCTAACGATTCGACTGTACCGGGAAATCAGTGTTATTGCGTCAAGGGGACTTGCGCTCCTATGGGTAACGTGTGGACTTGTTATTGTTTTGTGTTTGTGTAAGTGTTGTCGATTTATTTTTTTCTTAATTTTTCTGTCTTTTTCTTGGTGCTTCTGTTTCGTTTTTCTTTTCTTTTCTTTTTCTTTTCTTTTTTTCATATTCTGCTTCTTCTTCGTAATTTTTTCTTCTTTTCTTTGTTGCTCTTCGTTTCGTTGTTGTTACTATTTTCTTCTTTTTCTGAATTCGTTCTTCTTCTTCGTTCTTCTTTTGTACATGTTCTGTTTCTTCTTCCTTCTTCTTCTTCTTCTTCTTCATTCTTTCTTACTCTCACCTCTCCTCTCTCGGCTCCCATCCTCCTCCTCTCTCTCCTCCTCCTCCTCCTCCCCTCCTCCTCCTCTCTCTCTCTCTCTCTCGTCTCTCTCTCTCCTCTCTCTCTCTTCTCTCTCTCTCTCTCTCTCTCATCCCTAACATCTCGTCTCCGTCTCTCTCTCTCCCTCTCTCTCTCTCTCCTCTCTCCTCTCTCCCTCTCCTCTCTCATCCTCTCTCTCATCCTCCTCTTCTCTCTCTCTCTCTCTCTCCCTAACATCCTCTCTCACTCTAAACCCTAACTCTTTCTCTCTCTCTAACCTAACTCTCTCTCTCCCCGTCCTCATCTCTCGTCATCATCCTCTCTCTCTCTCCTCTCTCTCCTCTCTCTCTCCTCTCTCTCTCTCTCTCTCTCTCTCTTCTCTCCTCTCTCTCTAACTTCTCTCTCTCCTCTCTAATCTCTCTAACTCCTCTCTCGTCTCCTCCCTCTCTCTCTCTCTCTCTCCTCTCTCTCTCCTTCTCTCTCTTCGCTCTCAATCTCTCTCTCTCTCTCTCTGTCTCCCTCTCTCTCGCTCTCTCTCTCCCAAAAAAACTAAGCTCTCTCTCTCTCATCCTTCTCCTCTCTTCTCTCGTCTCTTCCTCCTCTCCTCTCTCTCTCTCGTCTCTCCTCTCTCTCTCTCTCTTTCACTCTCCCTCTCTCTCCTCTCTCACCCCCCTTTCTAATCTCTTCCCTTATCCGCCACTAGATTTGTATCTGAGGTCACAGAAAAGGCTTATCTCTGATTTAGACAAGTCTTGACGAAGAATTTTGGAAAAAAAATATAAGTGATGACAAGTCTCTGGTGTGTCTGTGTCGAAAATCTTCATTCATCCCAGCCCTCCTTTTCTACTTCTCTCCTCATCGATCAACCTCTGCTCATCTCTCTCTCTCAATCTTC